CTTGCTTTGCCCTTTCCTCATCCTATGGAGATCGGCTGCCTCTAACTGATCTAGAGTTCCTGCATCTCCCAAACGATGTGTGTAAATGGAAATCCTGGAAATAAAGCATTGCTTCAACTCCAAAACTGCAAGTGCGAGTTTCGACACGATGCCATCTCAGTTTGCACATCATAGGTGCATCGACAAGCGAACTATAGGCTCATCGAGGCCGAAGTCAGTATGAACAGTCGTACTGGGAAAGGAAAAGACTCAATGACTTGTTGAATGGTAATTATTGGCTTAACTAGGAAGAAATCCTTCTGTTATTCATCTCGGGCTTCTCCGGTCGGGGAGATTTACTTTCTGGATCGTATTGAACGCAAATCCGACGAATTCTCTGACTTCCTTGTAGAAGAAATTCGGCAGGACTCACACGAAAGAATTTCCAGATGGTTTCAACCGGAAAGGCAGCCGGTCGCTTCCGTCGCATTTGGCATTAGATGCTATCTCCTTCACGCGATCCGGATGAGTCAGGGACATTCCCGTTTCGATGCACATGTCAGACTTCGTGAGCACCGTCTACATGATTCATGCCTCAATGATGAGGACAGATAAGGCAAGGACTACTTATATAATTAATGGCCCATATGTGAGATGGACGGCACGACTCGGCTTCCGCGTATCCATATGAGTAAGATAGAATAAGTGCTAGCCGGTTATTCCCTCATTCACTTATTCACGATGGGATATGCAAGAGTATGGCAACAACGAATATGACCTAAATACTGTATATCTGCTCACACTGGAGTTTCACTTCGCATATATGGGAATGTTGGAAGCTGATTCGCAAAGTTTCATCGCAATTTCTTGAGCTGAGGCAATAATATTCGCAAATACTGAAAATAAGTTAGATATTGAAAATGTATTAGAGTTGCTGGAAGTGGAGTGTAAGGCTGTCGAGCGCTGTCCAAACACAGAAATCAGTAAATCGAGTGATGCTCTTCTGTCAATTTTTGCATTTCGATTAATTTCCCTCAAAAAGGAAGAATCATCGACATGGAATTCCAATAGGTCACTTTCCGATCGCGTCGGGTCAGGCGTCTGCAAAACCGAGATGCGTCTACATCCGAGTCGAGAGGGGGGATTGGAGCGGCCGCGCATCATCTAGAACGCGTGGCAACCTCCTTCTTCCGCTTCATCGTTTCGGAGAGAGGCCCTCCTCGTAAACCCTCGGGGCAAGGCCTCGACTGCTAAGGGATTCAAGCGAAATCGCGTGAGACTGCAAGGCCTCTTCGCTTTGTCACCTTAGCCCCGGGATGGTGCTCGTAGAGCCCTGTGCGTGTTTCAGGGATTCTCATGTGAGCACTTGCTCCATTTTTCGAGTCCAGTTTCTTATGGTGTTCGATACCTATCGCCTTCAATCCAGAGGTACTTCTCTCAATTTTAATCATCTCCCTATTAAGAAACCTACCATTGTACGAGGAGAGTTCAAGGTCCAATGGCACTTTATTTTACACACAAGCAACAGCTAATGCAAGAGCAATGAAAAGTTGCATAAATATTGCTGTAACACTGGGTGACGTATAACCAGTGGCGGATACGGGGGGGGGAGGGGGGGCGACCGCCCCCCCTATGGCCAGGTTAGCATTTGATTTATTTATTCAAAATGGCATCTGCATTAAATTATATTGGAGTCAGTGAAATAGATTCTTATAGTTATAGTATAGATAATAGGTTCTTACCCCAGACGAAAAATAAAAAAGGCTAAAGGAGGAGGAATGGTGGTAGGCGGGAGGGGGAGCGGGGGGGGGGAGGTAGGTTGGAACTTGGAAACCGCCTCCCCTATGAAAAATTTCTGTATCCGCCCCTGCGTATAACCTGAAGAAGAAAGATGAATGAGTGTTCCTCGTAGAAGAAAACAAGATCTGCATCAAGCTTGCCACGTCAAATGGAGATCATGCATCGACGTTTTTCATATGATCGGAATGCATGACATGCAGAAGGAACTTCGATGCGGCTGAAATACATCAAGATATATCATTTTGATCGGTTCAAAAAGTATTACATGGACGACAAGTTTTTCTCGCCAAAAATGCATCAATTTGATGCACTAAACATAATTTGAGTATCCTCTTGAATCCTTTTGAGGAGAAACAGTCGCCGAGATGAAGTAGCTAAAGAAGAATTCACAAGGTCAACAAAGGTCTAACGAAATGAGAATCTTCCGCTTTGCAACGAAGCTCCAAGTTTTGGCGGATGGGAGCACGTTCAGCGAGTTGCTGCGTTCCCCATGTCTTCCTCCCAAACCCTAATTATAGCTTTGAGCCTCAAATTCAATTGCCCTCCCCCAACGCAACCCTCCTATGAGAAGTCGCTTCGCTTCGAGTAATGAATGGACATGGGTGGAGAGGGCCCTCCGCGGCAAAAGGCGCTTCAGCATTGATGCTTCTTGCGTGCCTGCTTCGATTCTCGGAACGCGTTTCCCATTTCTTCGCTCTTCTCTTCTCATTTCGCCATTTTCTTTCCTGATTCATACTTTTCCCATTTCACCAAGCAACTTTCATAACTTCATTCATGAATCTGCCGACAGGGTATCGCAAACGTTCCGTTTCGTTTTTTTCTGGAGGACATCTATAAATTCACCTTTCGTGGCCATTCCTGGAGCTGCTTCCAAGTACGAGTGGTCCTTGGCACGGCGTGTAGACGCTGGCAGCAACAAGTAGCAACTAGAAAGAAATGGGCATTCTGCAATAAAGGTCGTTTTATGTACTATCTATTTCTCAATGAGCTCTATTCCTAATTTCTCCTCGTAGACCAACCGCTTTTAATTTGAAAATTATACAATTTTACTTGAAGTGTCACTCGTCCATTCCTACCTACTGCCCTTTAGTCGCATTGTGTTTGTTACTGTGCATTGAGCGTAAGTATGTCATGACGATTCTTGCACAGCAATCGCGTATATACCTCATAAACCGTCGTTGGGTGGGGCTCTGCCGAATATCAGACAGGAATCGATGAGAAGCATCGGGTTCCTTAGGACTATGCCATCGCCAGCTTTCATCTTTGCGTGTAGCGAGAAAGCAGTATGTGTGCCAGATAGCACTGAACGACTGCGACGCACTTTTCCCCTCGGATGGCCCAAAAGAAGTAATGCCAACCTGCACCTCGAGCGCCTCATCACGACAATACGAGTTTCGAAGACGTCAAGGTAAGCTCGAATCGCTTTGGTCTTTAGACTCTGGTGTCAAACATGCTGAGGACATTTAGGCACAAAGATGTTACCTCCATGTGTAGCATAGCCAGGACAGGAACGCTCAGTATTTGACCATGAACGGAGGAAGAAGTATTTTCTTGCTGATGCTGCTGTTGGTGCCGAATGGAGGAGGAAAATCCATCAGCCAATATAAATTCCTGAAGGTGAATCGAGGTGGGATGATCTTTCTCGCTCCAAGCCTCACACAAACCACAACCACAACCGTCATCGAATGTGCTTTCCAGTGCATCAGCATGACCGACTGCGTCGCATTTCATTGGCTTCCCTCAGGTTAGTGCCTTGTGATAGGTTATGCCTCCGTCGACCTACTGTATTGGGAAAATTTTCTCTTGAATTCTTCGAACAGGAAAATTCCATGCAATCGTTATTTACTCCTGTTCAGGACGAGGAGCGGTTTCCCAAGTTTTGTGTCGTGAGCGATGTAGTCCAATACCACTCCCATATAAAACTTTCGAATCGGACACAGATCTGGGGCCGGGAGATGGCTGCGGGTTGTTAAATTCTCCGCCATGTATTGGTGATTTTAGTCATTTCGTGTCAAAACCAAAATTGACTATACCCCATCCGATTTGGAATACAGTTTTGTGGATCTGTTGGGTTCATTGAGAAACCAATTTCCAAAAAATGTTAGCATCCTATATCAAGCACTTATTGAAGCATCACGACTTTAATCTTTCAAAAGTGCGACATCTGGACCCTTGGTCACCAGTGAATAGCCTATACGTTTTGTAATAATAAGAGACGAAAACAAATTATTTTATGTTATTTTGGAGCTATTTTAATGCCTAATATTTTCAGTGCTTAGAGGTGTTTCCTCGAGAACAAAGGTGAAAGGTCAAGAGTTTTGGTCTTTAAACTTGGTGCTATCATTAACTCATCCCAAGAATTTACCGCGACATTCCAAAGGAAAAAAAAAACTATAATCAATATTCTTATGAAACACTTATGAAGGAAAAATGTAAATTTAAACATTTTCAAGATTCAAGATTCGGGATGTCGGGAGGCAGATCTGCCTCCCACGTCATCCCGATTTCAGGTCGAGCGTTCATTTCGTGTTTATTTAGTTCAAATATATAGAACTTAAATAAATGTATTTGTTGGTATTATTCAGTATTTAAAAGTCCAATTTCAAGCGTCTCGACCTTACACTATAAATTTCAGGCTGACTCCAAGAAACACATTCATTTTGAAAAGCCGTTGGAAGAGCTTGAAAGTGATATTAACACAATTTCTCGAGCTTTAATATAATAAAACTTACATGAACTGCAATGACGACGACTCGACCAGAGATTTACTTTATTTTTGGCAATATATCGCAGTACTTCCGTAAGGAGTTGACTTATGAAGCTAAAACTTTTTTTTTAATGGTTCTTCAATGGACCCCAAAAGTCCACCATAGTTCATCAAAATCGGAAAGGGTTAAGTAAATGGCTGCTGTAGTTTCACAAGGGATGGCCCGTTCCCCACCGTTAAGGCATTATCTTCCCGTTATCATCATCCTCAAAACCTCAAGTTCCCGTTCCTGTGAAAATTAGAACACTACTCACTTAAACCTCGGTCCTTTAACGGATCACATTGCAAAAGAAAGAGGGATTAGCGGGATGGGAAGCCTCATTGCAGATAAGATGCAAATCTCAGGATATTTATTTCGTACGTAGTATGATCCTCTTACCTTTGCCAATCACATGGAACGTGCATCTGTAAGATCCTAAAGCACGAGAGAATGCGTGATCGAACCGTTTGGTGTATGACAGGAGGGACGTGCCAGCTGGTGCCAGGCGGCAACACGACCATGGACGTTCAAGACGGAGGAGGACTGGAGCTCTACCAACAGGAAACAAATGCTATGGGTGAGTCGTACGATCCAGCGGTTTGGAACCGACCAGCTTGGTCTCGAAGGAATTAGGTTTTACCCTCCTCTCTTGCCGTGATTGCAGGAAAAAAAAACACGTGCATCGGGTTGAGGTTTGGGCAAGCCTGCGTTTTCCCTTTCACGTACGAGGGTGTCACGTACAACGGGTGCACCAAAGTCGCATTCGCCCAGTTCTGGTGCTCTCCCGTTCCCAATTATATTCTCGGGAGCGACGTGTACGAGCTTTGTCCCTTCTCCTGCCCCATCAACGACCCTTGCTGTTAGCCGATGTCTAAGTTCTATGCCCCTTTACTTGTCCTTTGAAGAGTGGCTGCTGCTGGCTTTTCTCTTTTTGTGCTTTCTTCATCCTCAAGGTCTGAAATTCTTTCATCTCCAACACGACACGTGTAAATCGAATTTCAGGAAATAAAGCCTTGCGTCGCCTTCACCTCAGCTGCAAGTATGAGCTTTGACACGATGTCATTTTCAGTTTGACTTCTAAAGATGTTTTGATAATCGAACCAAAAACTAGGTTATAATTATTATGAACAGTTTTTCACAGTGAAAGCACCCGAAAAACTTGTCGAATGATAATTATAGGCGCTATCGGTAAGAATCCTCCCTTTTTTCCGCTCATCTAAACGGCCGGATTCAATTGAAGGTGCTATGGGAACATAAAAATCGACTCCCCTGGATCGAAATTCCGCTTTATAATTGTGTTAGGGGACCTCAAGAAAGGGCTTTGGAGCCGATAGTTGCCTCTCAGGTCACACCCGGGACATGACATGAGGTCAAAGGTCGCGATTTGCATGCTTCTCTTTGAGAACCTGTATCTCCCCAACCCTTGCCTGCAGAAACGCAAGCATTGTTTCTGCCGCCAGGATTTAAATAAATAACGTTTGAATCAGAATATTAGTGCTGTATGAAATGAGCCACCTTGTCGCGCGTGGAGACCCGACCGGTAAAATTCATTCACTAACCTCTATTTCTCTCTGAGAGGATAGGGAGACGAGGAAAGCGGCTGGCCCGGGCGACTCAAGGAGGTGAAGTTTCAGATGCATGTGAATGTCTCGCTATGTATGAGCTCTCAGGGCATACCTGTGGCAGTCCTTCTTTCTCTGCCTGGAGCGGGCCAGGGCCAGTCTGTCGTCTCAGAATTGTTCCTCTTTTATGATTTCTCGTTCTATTTTCGTGCTGCCTGGGTGCGTTCATGCATTCCTTCTTGTTTTGTCTTGATGTTCGCCTTCTCCTCTCTCTCATTTTGCAGCCATGTCGCCTGCCTATGATCGTTCGTTTTTGGCACGTTCATTAATACGGCATATGTAACATATGATCAATAACACCTAAAAAATTTTCGATAGAAAAAAGCTGTTGGTCAGCATTTGAAACTCTTTCGCAGGTTATGTGAATAGTGAAGACCCAGAATAATGTGAATAACGGAATTTTGTTAACGTAGCTATTTGAGTGCGTGCCAAAATGTGATATTCAGGCATCCTACCAGTAAAGATGGATGTTTCGTGGTGACAATATCTTCCAACATAACTGCTTTTGATGGCCAAAATAGGATGGATATGATAGGTTGTGGGCAGAAATCATTATGCTTGAGGCGTCGACCCATTCCCGTGGACATTTCCGAAATTTGCGGCAATTTTCCCCCCTCCCTTCGGCCCATTGGTTGAAAGTTTCCGCATTAAAAATGAGCTCGTAGGAGAACCTTCGATCGCATGCTCTTGGGAAGAGTGGCGAATCCGTAATCGCGACGAATTCATCTATTGCGCGACGGCCATCATCGTGATGTTCGCCTGGTGCCTCTTCTCTGCCGTGTCCCAGACGAGGCGAAACCAAAGGGTCCTGTGCCGAAGGGTGCATACGGATCACGTGATCGAGGTGCATCGAGGGAAGTGGAAGACGGTCTCCCCGACCGCCTCGGTTCCAGGAGACCGGTCCTGGTCCATCCCGTTCCGCGGCTGCCTCCTCCACTTCGACGCCATCCTCCTTTCGGGGTCTGCCTTTCGAACGAGAGCATGCTCACTGGGGAGAGCGCGCCCGTCCACAAGACGCCCGTGGACGAGGATCATTCCGAGAAGAGATTCGACAGGAAGGTGCACACGCGTCACGTGCTGTTTGTGGGGACCCAAGAGATGAAGACCCGGCTTTACAAAGGGGAGAAAGTGAAAGCCCTGGTCGTGGGGACGGGTTTTCACACTCAGAAGGGCTTCCTCATCCGATCCATCCTCTATCCGAATCCCGTGGATTTCAAGTTTCAGACCAAACGCCTATCGATTCATTGTATGCCTGACCAGGTTTGCTGGGGTCGATTTCATGTACACGATTGCGACGAAAAGCCGACGAGAGTTGCTGGCGGGGGAAATCGCAGTCGGCGGCCTGGGCCGATTCACCGTCGTCGTGACGCCGGTTGCAATAGCCCGAAGGCGGTCGACATCAGCGGGGCATTGGATTCATTTTTTCGACAAGACGGGGACGCCGACGGAAGACGTGCAAGGAGTCTCGCCGTCTCCGGATTTCCCATTCGTCTCTCTCCTCGTCTTTTAAATTTTCCTTCGTCAAAGGGGGATTCCATGGGGGAAATAGCTTCCATGCACTTCTTGCGTCTCTTGGGGAAGTTGTCAACGACTTCGCTCGTCTCCGAAGATAAACCAATTCGCTGATCGTTCCCTATTTGCAACGACTGCTACTTTTTGCTTGAACTGGGGTAATAAACCGTTTGGACGATTTTCGATATCGTGTCATTAAATGATGTGAATCAATTTTGAGGTCCAACCGATCCGCACACCCTCGGTGTGCGGATCGGTCGGTTAACAGGTCCAGGTTAACAGGTGTTGATCTGTTAACCCTGGTTAACAGGTCAACTGTACTGGTTTACGGCACAGCCTGCACAGCTGCCTACGCTTTGGATCAGAGTCCATTCGACCCAGAAAAGGATTTACATGAACACATTACGCTACGCTACAGGAAGACCATCGTTTTTAGAGCGATTCGTCCTCAAAGGCTGGGGACAGGAGAAGAAAGGGATTCCAATGTACCCGTCACGTCTTCGAAATGCAGACAGTCGAGATTAAGGTTGCAGGGGTCTAAGGGCGTCCTCGAACTTTTCCATCGCACGAGAGCGTGGCGGTCGTTCGGGATCCTCACGCAAACTCCATCAGGCTGCTGAAATGAACGCTAAGGAACACCGTGATCCTTATCGCTCATTATCTTACACCTTCCTACTCTCTATTGATTTGCACTGATACGGTGAGACGGGAGAGACGCGCGAGGTGACCGAGCGAATTCGTCCTCATCCGATCGATTTCTTCTTTTTATTGAGGTGGGTTTGGAAAGTAGATTTCCTTCGAGGGGATCCTAGTTCGTTGAGACATTATGCGTAGTGAGAATTTTGGATCTTCTCCGGGGGATGGCCGGCGGGTTATTTTTCTTTAGAGTCACATGGCATTCCAAAGTCTCTTTTTTTTTTAATGCCCATTTGGACGCTCAAAGCTGATGTGAGTTTCCAGCATCACCTCTTTGTAGCGGTGCTAGGAGCTTTCCAACCCGAATTTCGTCTCTTCGAATGCAGAGCGATGAAGGACCACAGGTTCCAACGCGGTGAAATTTCGCGCACCGGCTTCCATTGGGCCATACAATCACGAGGGAAAGCCCTTTATCCACTTGCCAGAAACATTGCGACGACGATTTCAGTCATTCGTCACGGAAAGTCATCGAGATATACGACATAATGACGAAAGTCATCGTGTCGTTTCTCAAGAAATCGGACGGCAGTGCGTGCGCCGTCCATCGCATTCTCTACAAACATCAATCGATTCCGTCTCGAAATCCAACCCAGTGAAAATTGTTCTTTGACTTTCGTCGGCTCGTAACTCAAGATGTTGCCTCATCTCCGGCGAGCGAGCAGGTCGGACCTGATCTTCATGAAGTCGAACATTCATCGAGTCGGATTCGATCGACTCGGATCAATGGACACGAAATGAATTAAGTAAAACCTCGCTAAAATCTGCGCCGTCTTCAATGTGCCCCGGAAATTGGTCCATTACCGCCATCCTCGAATTCAGTTTTTGCGCCTTTCAGCTTCTTTGAACCTCGACGTTCCAGACGGTGTAAAATGCTAAACCTATGGCAGATGTGAGCCACTTCGGCGACACACGAAATCGTACTGCAGTCATCGTCCCCATCCAACTCTCCTTCTCCTCCTCCTCCGGACTGGATGACGGATGAGTCGAGACTAATGCAAGGCGGCAGGCGTTGAACCGCGGGAACGCGCTTCCGAGACGGGAAGAGACAGGTTCGAGCAGAGTTGAATTGGAATGGGTCGGAAATTGTTCACGATCGCCATGGGATCTTCGGGAGGCATTTCGAGACTCCTGTTCGTTGCGATTCCGTCAGAGGGGGGGCTCTACCTGTTTAGACGTGGGAGAATCATCCGATCAATTGACGAGTGGACGCCCACGGCTGACCACGGCTCCCTCGTCAATGGGGAAACGGATACGAAGACCACAGACTAGGTATCGTGATCGAAAAATGTCAACTTTCTTCATGCGAATACCTGTGATTGTGGTAATCGGTAGATACTAACAACAATTCACGTGGTGATGGGTTGCCCTAAAAATGAAGGTTTCTTGTAAATTCGAGCTCCTGTCTATGAAATTTAATGCAAAGCCTTTACATGAAAAAACTATTATTACCTGGTATGGCTTCACATTATAGCGCGACACAAGTCTCTGGCATGGACAACGAATCTTTAAGGTACAAACCGGCAGAGGATGCGGGATAGAGAAATTGTTTTGTGCATGGCAGGTGGGACGTGCCAGCTGGTGCCAAGCGACAACACGGTCATGAACGTCCAAGCCGGAGGAGGGCTGGAGCTCTACCAACTGCAACCGCTGACCAATGGTGAGACGCTCGAGCTCACGCTCGACCCACGGCCTCTGAGGAGCCTCCATTTTATCTCCTCTCGTGTCTCTTTGCAGGTGAGCCCAACAAGTGCATCGAACTGAGGTTCGGGGCATCCTGCGTTTTCCCTTTCAAGTACAATGGGGTGACGTACAACGGGTGCACCAAGGTCGAATTCAACAAGTTTTGGTGCTCCTCCACTTCTACATACATTTTTCTCTCTAATACGTACGAATTTTGTTCCTTCTCGTGTCCCATCGACGATCCTTGTTGCTAACCGAAGTCGACATGACTTTTCCTTTCTCCTATCCCATGAACGATCCTTGCCACTCACCTTTCTTCCTGGCGCCTCTTTCGATCTACAAGGTCTGAAATGTCTTGCGTCTCCCACATGATGCGTGCAAATGGAATTTCAGGAAATAAAGCCTTGTCTCGCTTTCTTCGAAACCGCAAGGACGAGTTTTGACACTTACGGCATCTCTGTTTCATCTTACGATGATGTATCGATAAGAGAAGTGAAGCCTCTCTCGGCTTCAAACGCGTATAAGCAGTCGTTCGGGGTAAAACGACGAACTCGCTCGACGAAGATTGTTTATTGACACCACCAGAAATAATCCCTCAGGTTTTTTATTAACGGAAGCGAATTTCAATATTCGCAAGGTAATGGGCCTTGTCAACAATAGAGAAGGCATGCAGCCCTCTCGCAAATTTACAAACCCATTTCGATTTCGGCACACACGCCACTCACGTGCATGGATGGCGAAGGCGCGTGAGAGTGGGTTTGCGTGAATGCACGTGAAACCCTCCTCGATTTCGGCACCAGCCTCTCCTGCATGCAAGAGGCTAGTGCAGGGCAGGGTGCAGGGAGTGAGAGACGCGCTTTAGCAAGACGAATCGCCTTGGTCCGTCTTTGTTTCCACGTGGCGGCGTTTGCCATAATTACTTCATACTGCGTGCATCCCCTCTGGGTTTTTCAATGACTACGGATGAACTAAAAATTGGAATTTTTTCTTCAAGTTCCATGACATGTGGCGCTATGAAAGGGGTATTCAATTAAATATCTTTGCATTACTTTTTCCTGCATACTTGACATTTGCCGAAATCCTACGAGTGACCCAAACCGTGAAACTGATCTTAGACTACTCCTCCAGAGGCCAGATCCAATCTACAGGGTGAGTCAAAGTCTTCCCCACCTTTTGAACGCATATATGAAAGCCGGTTCGGAATTACACGAAGTTTGCCGCGATCAAGTATGAGGATATGGTCGGATCTTGAAACCCCACCCTGTTGGAATACCCCACATTGTAACAGTTATGTCTGATTGATGAGCAAAAAAATGGAGAGCACGTCATCCCCACTCCAGTTTAGCACCGCTCATGTACGCGAAAGGAGAAGATGAACTCGAATTCAGACTCGCTGAAAGCAACAATCGACTCCGGTCGCAAGCCACTTTCCTGTCGCCCAATTTCGCCCTACACATGTGAAACAAAAGGGAGTTGAGCAGACTGCTACAGCCGGAGGACATAGCGAGGAGGAAGGGAGGAATAAAGAGCTGCACGGCAATTTGGAGGTGTTTCAGGTGATTCAATTCCCTATACATCATTCGGGTGGAACATGTATATCGTTGCCATGGATTCATGAAGCCTAAACGGTTACTTCCTGAAGAATAATATTGTGTGGAAGTCAATTTGATTACCTCTACATTCCTCCAGCATCATCTTCTGCCAAGAAATTGGTGATAGAGCTCTCGGTTACGACAATATAGAGGGTGACAATTAATTCATGGACACACTTGACTTACTAATGAATTCTTTGATTTGGGTAGTACGAGTTCAAGATTCCAAACATTTGGAATAATAATAAATGCAAATTTCTTTTTTCAATGACCATTTATTTGTACAGCATGCCCTTTACAGAAAGAGGACACGAGATAGGAAGGAGTGGAATATACAATTTGGGGATATAGAAAGATGGCTTGTCTTCCGTGGTTGGAGTCCAGGTCTTCGGGTTGTTGGGGTGGAGTGGAGGTCTTGGTGTTGGGTGGGTCCGCGGCCAGCCACCAGAGTGGTGTTGTCAGGCCAGGGGTTGTCGAGGGAGGTAGAAGAGATATCAGTCGGCATGGTCATTGTGGGGGTGATTTTTCTTGTTTTATAGTTTTTTTATATTTATTTTATATATATGTGTTTTTTTTCATGAGTTTTTTATTAATTTTTTATTCATATTTATTTTTTAATTATATGTATTTAATGGAAATATTAATATCAGGTTTTGTACAGCTAGAATAAGGAAAGTTTTATGCGGGTACACATCATTTGCTCATGCCATTCACTCTTCCTTTCGATCACACTTTCAGGCAGTTACTCACTCAGTCATACAAAATCACATGCATTCACTTATGAAAATATGGGGAGTGTGGTGGAGTGACTTAGCTTGGGGCATGCAACAGGAAGCAGAATCCTGCAGAAATCAAGTTTGATCCAACAGTTACTCGTCTTCAGTCATGGACCTTTAATTCAAGTCCAACAATAATTATTCACGTCACCGGTGAGAAAGCTTCCCATTTTTCATGAGGCAAAGTTTTTTTTCGCAACAAAGCGACGGCAGCAGAAAAGGCCTCTACTTCGCTCTCGACGTCAACACATTTATATTGCTTACGAAACCTCCGAAAACTTTTCGAGGGAGGTTATTCCAGGTGTTCAAGGAACTGTTTTACTCGAAAGAAATTGAAACCTGTTTAAAATGAATCTCTGCTTTCTCCGCAATCTGGGGAAACGAAATTAGAAATATTTTTTCTCGTGATATCACGTTCATAGATTGAAAATATATTGGCGAAATGCGATCGAGGGAAGGGCACACCGATGGACAGGACAAGATTACAAACTGGATTAGTTCCTCTTTTCTCAAGAGATTCCCTTTTTAGGATCTACCAGGATGATATGAGACAGTCGAAAGTAAGAATCTATTGCTAAGGTTTGAAGGGCCGAAAGGGAAACTTGTCTATGTGCACATATTTTCTTTCCATCTGCTCCTTAGAAAAAAGTGCAGATTTTGATAACAGTCTACTTGGAGGTCATAGTGATGTGCAGTGAGAAAGCAGTTTCTTTCATAGGTAATAGGAAATATTGTATACTGCTTGGGTACAGAGAGGGACGTCAGAAAAAGGAACAAGGGACGGAAGAACGTGAAGGGAGGGAGGGAGGGAGGGAGGGATGGGAGAAGGTGGAGGGAAGGAAGAGGGAGAAGACGTGTCGATTTGAAACCTCAATTGGCAAATATTTGCGTGGTAACCTATGAGCCAGCCAAATTGCAAAATACGATCCTATCGTACGGGCTCTACGAGGAAAAAGGTGACGTGGCTAGTACTGCTTCCATAATTCATACCCGTTGGTTGTCGATCAGGGCTCCGATTTGGCGTGTCGAGATTGCAGCGAGAGGACTCACGCGGAATGATCGGGCACAAATGGTTCCTTCTCCTGTTTGTATCACTTTCAGATGGTGTCACGAGGGAGACAGAAGAATAGAATTAGCGCGAAATCGTAGCTCCGTAATTTTCGGATTCTGATCTCAAGCGGCGAAACCTCCGCTCTCACCTCCAGAGTCTGTACTCCGTTGGCTCTCTCGTCACGTCATCCTGATGTCATGCCTCAACGAACGGATGCGAAAGTTGGTGCCGTCCTTATCGAAGCGGGCACTGAACGCCTCGGAAAATGGGAGAGAGGGCTAGTAATGAGGCTGTGAGTGGGTGGAAAGCGTCACAAATTGCGATTCATTTCTTCGGAGGATGTGCCACAGGCACATTCTCATGGTATTTCTCCCTGGAATTTCGTGATATTCGATATATTACCAGCGTTCGTCATGGTTTGCCATAGCAGATAGCGTCACGGATGTGAGTTACATTTTTACCAGCAATTTTGACGCTTCCTAACCTCGCATCATGGAAGTTTGACCGTTAGTTATTTTCCGAGGATTGACGGATCCACTTTTACTTCTGGTCCTTCGTGTTCAAATCGTTAAATATCCTCTCCCGAGTAATTTCCAATTGGCAATTCGATGGCCAACAATGACCGTGCTGGTAACAAAGAATGAACGTTGACATGACGTTGATATGTCCCATTTGGAAACCTCAAAAACGTCAGCACAAGAGCTTTGGAGCCATGACGACGATCTATGTTTTCTTGATCGTGGCAGCGGGCCTGTAATCTATTGATGCCTGAAACAATGATTCGCACAGCCGACCCAAGATGCTATAGTGGGAATCCGCTATAGTGACCCAATCTATCAATATAATCCGTTGCCTTAAGTAAAGAAAAAAACTAAATTAAAACTCCTGGGTTCTCGTGAGATCTCACGATTTCCCCATTAGGATAATGAGGTTTCTCCTAAGGCAAGCATTACTTAAGATAGATACGACAATCAACACCAGATGGTGTTGGTTGCCGATTCTTGACAAGCAATGAGTAATATATTGACAAAACAATAATAAAGCCGTATCTTGACAAAGCGATAAGTTCACCTGCACCACCTGTGTCTTCGTATCCATTGATAAGTCAACAGTAATATCTGGGCTAAGGTGACGGTTGTATGGAGTGTGGGAAAGTGATCTAAAGTTGAACCCACAGTGTCTCGCTTTTGGAAAGTTCGAACAAAGTTGCATAATTCAAATGCCGTTCAAGAACGAAAATGGAAAAATATTGGTCAGATCCAACAGCGTTGAAGATGTTTGGAAAGAATTTGATCCAAATTCGTTGAAATTGAATGAGTCCTCAGATAAACCCGATCCAGAAAAAAACCAAATTATTTATCTAGAGCATAAGCCAAACGGTATAGTCGTCGTGGATGCCGACAAGGTGGAAGATGTGCACAGAAATACTGGAAAAACAATGCATCAATGTGCATGGGAAAATATGAATCCAGGGAAGACGTTTCCTGAAGGCGCAGAGCGTCCTGTTGCGGGAGGAGGATACCATGAGCGTCAATTGAAAACACATTCTGCAACATTTAATGCGCAGCACCAAAGTTTGGATGGAAGGAAGAGAGGTGATGTACCTGATGAAATAAGAAGGTCTTTCGAAAATCTGTATATCCAAGATGATATCCAGGATGATATGCAAAACCAGCAAGGCAACCCTGCTCCATAGCTACAATGACAGTACTGGGGCTTGGTCGAGCAGGAGGCTCTTTTGGTCTTTCCATATACTACATATCATGAAAGTGATTAGTGAATTAGTGAAAATTAACGTGAGACAACATGTGACCACATACCTGGAAAGACTGTAAAAACTGTAAAAATGAACCTGAAGGAGAACCTCAATTATATCAAAGTTAATCTGATCCCAAATGACCAACATATGCTCACAATGTTTTTATGATTCACCAGAGAAAAGTAAACATTTTCGGGATATTAGCACACTTGTAATAAACTATACCAACCTGAAAAATGGTGACTGAAAATATTTTCTTTTCTCTTCTATATTATATCAATATTGTGAGGAAAAAGAAAGGTTTTCAAAGAAAAAGGGTTTTTCTTTCTTTTTTTATCTTTATTTTCGGTCGCTTGGGTAAAGAGCGACACACCACATGGCGGAATCCGGGATGCAGAGTGAATCCACTTCCCACGTGAAAAGTACTCTCCTTTTCTGCAACCCTTGGACAACGTGGAGACTCAAAATCGAACAGATAGTGAGACTCAACGAAATAGGTTCCAGAGACAGCCGCATGGAGCACTCGCATCGTGTCACTTGGGAAGCGCAGGGTGTTCCTGGCCCCATTTTAAATCCATGAACATAAATCTTCGATGATTCCGTTACATCAGCAAAATGAAATATCCCTTGAACAAGTCGTTCCGTACAGTCCCCGAACCAGTATTCTTATTTAGAAATAGCGATGTATCCATGAAATACATTTTCAAACTACATCACTGACGGCAATCTAATACATATAGACGATCGAGACTGACTGACAGACGGTAATTCTAACCATGTTCTAGAAAAGTTAGAAATTTAAAACTTGGTACACAAAAACCTATTGGGATGCAGAGTTCAGAAAAAATCCGATTTTGGAGGTATATTCCCTGGGGGTACATATTTTGGGGGGAGAAGGTTTTAAATATATTTTTTTGCTTGAGTAAAACGGAGAGATATGGAAAGCTGAAACTTTGCATGGACGTGCCTACCGAAACGATGAGTTCAGGAATAATGTCTAATTTTAGATCCATGCCCTGGGGGCATATGTTTTGGGGCCGACGTTTTCAAGTAATTTTTTTGTCGTGGCGTATTGTGCTGGTCTGGAAGGTGAAACTTGGTAAAAACTTGGTAGTAAACACAAACTTGGTACAACTACCTATGGGGATGCTGGGTGCAGAAAAATTCAGACTTTGGAGGTAAATGCCCTTGGGGCATATTTCAAAAGGAGATGTTTTCAAATAATTTTTTGCATCAGTTAAATTGATGAACATGGAAAGCTGAAACTTTGCATGAATGTAACTACTGAGACAAGGAGTTAAAGAAAAATGTTAAGTCTCGATATATCCCCTGGGGGGATTTTTTCAAGGGGCAATGTTTAAAAAATAAATTTGTCGTGGCGAATTGGGCAGAAATGAAAAGGTGAAACTTGGCACCCCTTATAAGTGACACGATATTGAGTTGAGGCAGTATTCATCTTTCATGGTGCATCCCGTCCGGGCATAGCTTTTGGGTGAGTCGGCTTTCCAAACATATTCTTTCACCAGTGAAAAGGGGAAACGTATATGGTTGAATTTTGTAGGCATGTAGTTCTCTGAGAATTGATCTCAGTAAAAAAAAAAATGGTACTTTTCGGTTAAAACGCCTCAGAGCACTTACTTTGCAATTGGCATATTTTCCCGAATTTTTTGATCCAGCGAAACAGAGGGCGCTAGAAAGTTTAAACTTGGCAAAGAAGTACCTCTTTGATAGCTGAGTACAGGAAAAATCTTACTTTTGAAAGATGTCCACTTAGCTTATATTATAGGAGGGAAGTATATCAAAATGTATTCTCCACCCTTACAAAAAGGGACACGTGAAAAGATTTCAAGCTAGGCACACTAGAAGTCATAGAAGTAATGTTTTGCTTTAAAGAAATCAAGGCTTTCATCCCCATATGTCACGTATTTCAATGAGGACGTACTATAAACACGATTTTGCCATTTCGCAAAGAATAAACGAATTAACCACTATCCAAGGTAATGGATCGCCGAAGACGCGACCATAGCTTTTAGCTATGGTCGCGATGCATACCATGGAGATGCATACCCTGCAGGCATACTTTTAGGGGGTGAGGTTTTCAAATAGTTTTTTTCCCGAGTGAATTTACCAGAGATAGAAAGGTGAAGCTTCATACATAAGAACCTTTCCAGAAAAATTCAGGCTTTTGAAGGTAAATGCCCTGGGGGAACAAATTCCAAGGGAGATATTTTCAAATACAGTCGAACTCGGTTATAACGAAACCTCGGTTATAACGACGAAAGCTCCAGGTCCCGGCGTAGAGCTCATAAGGCAGGTTACATTTTACTGCGGTTATAACGAAACCTCGGTTATAACGAAGTTCATTGAAGGTCCCCCAGACGAAATCGACAACGTTCATGTCCCTAATCCGTCATTCCTAGCTGAAATTTCCGTCATTGGAAAAATTTGCATTGGTGAGCCATAAATTTATATTCCCTGGATTCGGCATTCCTTGAGAGTCATGTGGGTGTGGCCAGAGCAATGTTAGGGAGGGATAATCCCCAGTGACCACGATCACCTTATCTTCAGTCGCCATTTGGATTTCTCGTTGACAACATGGCCAATGAAAAATGAAAGAGGCAAGCCTTCACGGTTGAAAGGAAAGCGTGCTCGATTAGTTTAATAGAAAGAGCTCGAAGTGAAGCCAACGTCGCTCGTGAACATGGACATCGATTCATCTGTTTCCACAATTTGGGAAAATCGTGACAACTTCATCCGTGCTTACGAGAACATGCCATAAGACAAGAAACTTCCTAGGTCTGTCGAGATGACATCGATGAAGCCTTACTAAAGTATAAAGTAGTTCAAGGTCCAAAGAAGTGCGAACATCACAATTAGTGGGTCAATCTTGAAACCGAAGCTAGTGCAGTATGACCAATGTAAACTGGAGATGTATCTTTATATAACATCAATTTTGATAACAGGAAAACGGAGTGCCAATAAAGGCAACCTGTTATAACGACGGTTTTTACCTGGTCCCTTCGATGACGTTATAACCGAGTTCGACTGTATTTTTTTGCTCAGGCAAACGGATAAATATGGAAAGCAGAAACGTGACATAGACGTACCTACTGAGACTCTGAATTCAGGAAAAATGTCAAGTTTTGGATACATGCCCTGGGGGGGCATGTATCCAAATTTGTTTTAAAAGGTGCTTTTTCCAGAAACTTTTCTGATTAAATGAAGGAGAGAACTAAAGAAAGTTGAACCTCTGAGCAGAAGTACCTGTTCCATTGCTAAGTACATGTCCTACTTTTCAAATATGACCCATCAGTGCACAT